ATTTTTCAGGATCTTCTCCATCAGACGCAGTTATCAACTACTCGTATCACGTGCGGCGGAAAATGTATTCACCGATGAAAAGCATGGGGGAAAAACTCCAAAAATTATTCAAGTTGTAGAACCAGGCCCTTTCGCCTGGGGCGAAATATTTTTTAAAGAAACTTTGGTGCGTCGTCACTGTATGGGATTGGAAGGGAAAACGCGTTTTTTTGTTGCGTTTCCGTGAACTATTTCTGGAGCCAAGGTTCATCCGAAGCCCTATTGTATTGAGCAGGGAAAAGTTCTTAGCATTGAGTCGCCTTCGAATTGAGAAAAATTTGAGGGGCAACTAGAACGATTTTCTCGTGATATATCATATTGGATTGCCATTACGGATTATTGCCATCATATTGGATTGCCATATCATATTGGATAGTCGAAATATTGGCGTTTTGTCTCGGTTTGCTCGATATATTTCTTTATTTTTTGTAGGTTTCGTATAATGAATTGGAACAACAAAAAATGTTTCGTCGGTGATGGTTTCAGGTTATGATTATAATAAAAAAAACATGCGTGATGAAAACAAGTGTCATTGGACCATAAATTTCCTTCGGTCGAAATTCTCTGAATCGCTCGAAATGCAATCGAGTCTTCTTTCGGGACGCCAAGCACGGCACAGATCATAATTCAGCCATTTTTAGCATTTCAGCGTAATTTTTCTGTGTTTCTCTCCAGATAATCGCCGTGCTGAGAATCATAGCGGACGGATTCGGTGCCAGCTGATTTTCGGCCTTGAATTTGGGTGCTGCGAAGTTGCGTGCCCCGGGTGCAGAACTGATGTTTGCAACTCCGACACGTGTCGACGAAATCGTTCCACGTGGGAAGGGGTCGATGAAGGCCATGGGATTCCAGGGCTCGCCGATCTATCGACCGAGCGAGGAAACGAAGCTCCAGGCTCTGCCTTTAATGAAGGGTATGGCTTTTTTGTGGTTGCGTTTTCCTTTTCTTTGAACAGGAACCGGAAATATTCCGAGTCTCGTTTTGGTGTTCCCAACCAGGCGACGACGGGTCGATCGGAACTGCTTTTTCGTATTTGCGGTTATGTCGATCTCGGTAGCGGGAACGAGGCTTCCAGAATGGGGGAGGGGATTCAGCCCCCCCCCCCTCCCCTCCCCTCCCCTCCCCTCCCCCTATATCTGCCACTCTGGACCCAGGCGACTGCAGCGGCAAGATGGTGGAGCTGGCTCGGATGTCTTGCTGAGGAGATGGCGGGCTCTTGTCTTCAGGCCATGTGCGATGGTGATGATGGCTGGTGTCTATGGTGATGATGATGGGCCCTGGATGAGCATCATTGGCAACAAAAATACTGAATTGTTTTTTTTTTTTGTGCGTTCCACTATCGTGTAAGCGATCGGAGCCGGTTTCGTGGAAAGGAACCTTCAGTTTCTTCTTTTCGTTTTGGTGGCATCTAGAATGATGAGATTTATTTGAGGTTTTGGCGGTCATTCCTCAAAACAGCGCACTCCTTCCATGATCCCGTTCTCTGTAGACGTTCTCGCAACAGAACACGAAGGTCTCTTGATCCTCAAGCTCCGCCAGTGCTCCGTCGTCTTCGGCTTCGCGGACATCGCGGCTCACGCGAAGGGCGAGGAGGCGAAAGGAGCCACCCTCTTCGAGCTCGTGCGATACATGGCGAAAGGGGGGGAGATCGCGGAGCCAGCGTATCCCGAAATCGTCAAGATGGTAGGTACCCTAACGAAAAAATCCTATAGGATCCCAAGAATCAAAAAAATAAGTTATTCTGTGTTCTTTGGTTGTGAATGCAATGCCCCCTTCCCAGATATCGTGCAACCTCGTGAGAAGCCTTCCACCTCCCGAAAACCCCATGTTCGATCCGGAAGAGGATGACCCGACTCCGGAAGCGTCGTGGCCGCATATGCAGGTACTGGAGCTTTTTTCCGGGAAGTTCAACCGTATGAGTACTATAAGGACTGGCGTGGTCGGCTGCAAGGCTCCTGCGAGAATTTTACGCTGGTCGTGATCTGTGTCGTCTTCCTTCCTCGTAGGCCGTGTACGAATTCTTCCTCAGCTTCCTGAATTCTCCGAACTTTCAAGCAAAAGTTGCCAAAAGGGACATTAATCAGAAGTTCGTCCAGGAGGTAAAACGATGTCGACCGCGCATTTTTCCGTTCTGTGAGTCATTTCTGCTGATTGTAAAAAAAAAAAAAAATCGTATTTCCTTGCAGCTCCTGGAGATGTTCGACAGCGAAGACCGGAGAGAACGCTTTTATCTGAAGACTGTTCTCTACAGTGTCTATAGGAAATTCTTGGGCCTCAGAGCGTTCATTCGGAAACACATCAGTCACATCATTCTCAGGTGATGCGGCGTGACGTTGGACGTCACGTGGCTGATTGGACGTCACATGGCTTATTGGACGTCACATGGCTGATTTAAGCACGTCTTTGAACTGCAATATGCATTTTCGTCCAACTTATAATATTTCAGATATGTATACGAGACCGAGAGGTTCAACGGTATGCCCGAACTGCTCGAGATACTCGCCAGGTGAGTCAAATAACGTTGAACGCCGTTTCCTTGATGAAAGTCGTTAAGAAAATGCGCATTTCCTCTTTTTTTTCCTGTCCGGACAGCGTCATCAGCGGCTTCGCCTTACCGTTGAAAGCTGACCACAGGCAGTTGCTGTTCAGAGTGCTGATTCCTCTCCACAAAGTGGGGTGCTTGTCCGCGTGTCACGCACAGCTGGAGCATTGCGTAATTATTTTCCTGGAGAAGGACGACTCGCTCACGGAAATGGTGGTTCTCGGTCCTCAATTTCGCATGAATTCGGGGATTAAAAATGCTCATGGCTTTCCTTCGCGTTCCATCAGGTCGTCAACGGCCTGCTGCGGTATTGGCCCAAGACGTCTTCCCAGAAGGAAATCTTATTCCTGAATGAAATGAAGGAGATCTTGGTCGGGATGAGTCCGTTCGAGTTCCAGAAGATCCAGAATCCACTCTTTCGGCAGATTGCGAGATGCGTGTCCAGTCCACACTTCCAGGTTTGCATGTTGTCGCATTGTCACCGAATGCGACGGAATGCGACGGAATGCGACGGAATGCGAAGCATGTCTAACGTCTCCGTTTTCCTTCCTGCTGCGCAGGTCGCCGAGAGCGCCATCTGTCTCTGGCGCCAGGATCGCATCACGACCCTGATCAAAGGCAATTACCTCGAGATCATGCCCATCGTGTTCCCCGCTCTCTACGGGATCTCGAAGGAGCACCTGAGTCTGTCGATAGTGGATCTGGTGAGGGACGTGCTCCAGACCTTCATGGAAAGACAGCCTCTCCTCTGCGACGAACTCGCGACGTCTTTCAGAGCAGAAAGGCAATAACGAGTGCCAATTTTTTTTTACGGTGCCTTTATGACCTCGCGTTGAATTTGCGAGAGAACCAACTTCACGAATAACTGCAATGTTCCCTCTCGGCGATTGAGAAGATATGGGAAGTGAATCCCGCAATGCCCATGGTGCTTTGGAACACCCCGTCCCAACGGAATAAATCTCCCTCGTTTCGAGTGCTAGGCATCGTTCTCTCTTCCACCCGCGCAATTTTCGAAAACGAGAGCGAGGAGTCCAAAACGCTGCTCAGCGTTTCGGCGGGAGAAGATTGCATCCCGTCAGAGGCGCGGGGAAGTGGAGAGGCACTCGCAAAGCAGGCGAGCATCAACCAGCCACTCGTGCTATTCGCGCCTTCTCTGCACGGGCAAGACCCGTGCTTTCTACTGGGGTCTTTTCCAGCAGTAGCGAGCAATGGTATTTTAGACGGCATAATATAATGTAGCAACGTGAAAACCATTTTTCAAAGGCTTTCCCTTTCCTCAACCCAACCTCAACCTCGACCTCAACCTCAACCTCAACCTCAACCTCAACCTCAACCTCAACCTCAACCTCAACCTCAACCTCAACCTCAACCTCCCCCTCTTCTCTACGGAACTCACTAAAGTTAGGCGTAGGCATACCTTTTTTTTCGTTCAAAAGAAACTGAATCCTCGACTTACTGGGCCAATTGGGCCTGTAAGGATTAATCCCAGGTCTTCGAGATCTCGTCGAGGATGAGCGACGTTAGGCCAATTGCAGGCCAATTCAGTCTTTCATGGCCCTTTTAAGAGAGTACGTGTAACGTTAGACCGATAAGAGTTCATTTCGAGAACGTTTCGCCTGTCCAGAGTTCCTCGGGCCGTCTCGAGAAAAGTTCTGAGAGGAAAATGCCTCTGGGAAGCACGGGAGACGACGTGGTCGCCGTTCGGTCGATTCGCGGTTGCCCGAATGCGATGTCGCCACGTCTCACCGAATCGATCGGCCGCGGCCAGCCACCATTTCGATCTCAGCTCGTCTGATGAACTCGACGCTGGACTATCTGATGCATTAAAAAAAAAGAAGATCCAGGCACAGATACTAAGATTCAAGTCTCGAATCTGGGAAAATTAAGGCGCGAGATCCGGCAACACTGGAGGGCGGGAAAGGAGCCATCACGCTGAGCCTAAATTAACGGCACCTAATTTAATTTTTTTAATGGCGAAATGGTGCACTGGAAACAATAGGTGACAAAAATAAAACATTTTTTGTCGAAGAAAAAAATTAAAATAAAACATACCGGCATGAAATTGACATCTCCGGAAAGCGAGATTCGGTGACCTCCGCGACCGCGGGGGAGACGAAGCTTCAAATTCGCTGGAGCGATTCTGTGTTGAGGAATTTTGCCAAATTTCGTTCCTGTTGATGAGAGGAATATGAGATTGTTGAATTTTGCCAAATTCAATTGTCGAATTCCATTGCAACAGTTGAATTCGTAGGAAAATTGTTTCCGGGGGAAATTTAAATTTCGCCCTTACTTGTACGGGTTAAATTATTTTCACCGAGATTGGAAATCTGGTCGTAAAATAAGTAAATAATTCTTCGCGCGCGCCGATAAATGTATTCAAAATTGGTGATCATGTATATCATATATGAAATTATTTATACCGCTGCTCTTTGGGCTTCGGTGTTTGGCAGAATTTAAAAACTTGAAAAGTATTTCGTTCCACCCCGCCATGCATTCTCTTTCTGTAAAGGGCATGCTGTACGAATGAATCGAAAAAAAAAAGGCTGGTGTCGCATTCTCGCTGGCAGGCGGGGTGTGAAATTGTCTCTCGTCCTTCATTTCCAGCCTTGGCGACTTATTTATTTATTTATTATTTATTTATTATTTATTTATTATTTATTATTTATTTATTTTTTATTTATCTTATTATTAGTATTATTTCCTCTGGTTTGCGGCAGGTTTCCTGGTTCGATGGTAAAAGTGACCTGCTCGTAGCGGTTTGGAAAAATTTCCACTTCGAAATGGTTTAGTGACTCACGCGATGGAGAGGGCGAAATGCGTCTTCATCCGGAATCCGGATGAATCCGGATGACTATCGACTTAATTGGAGAGGGCGGGGCTGCATGTCCGCGTGGAATGATGATCGCACTCGTCGGATCCGGATCCGAAGGATGGATCCGGTCATCCGGGCTTGGAAAAAAAAATGCATTCCCGTTGCGTCCAGCCTCCTCGGCCGGATGACCGGCCTCGGACGATCCCGGACGACGAGAAGCACGGAAACAGGCACACGTTACGTGCGTCGTATCGCCGGCTCCCTTCCCGGGGATGAGGGAGCCGGCGACATCCCCGAGCAGCTTGCGTGTCTCTCCTCCTAATGAAAAATGAATTAATTCGCCTTCAAGCCGATCGCTTTTCGTTCCCGTTCACCTTTTCCAAATCCGTGAGAGGGATGTCGCGATCCTGCATTTTCTCCTTTCCATTTTTATCGCTGTTATTTACCAATGTTATTTCATCAGGAGTTAGAGAATCGTAAAAGGTTTTTATTTATTTTTACGCTCGGCTTGAAATGTGCTTGGGACTTGGTATTTAAGAGGTGGGAGCAGGAAGCAACCGAGCCGGACAGGTTTCACATAGGTTTTTTTTTAATGCATTTTTTATTTATTCAATGCCATATAATTAAAAATAATACAGTTAAAAATCATGAAATTTAAATCATAAAAATGTTTGGGGAAATGCCGCGGCGAACCTCCCGAGGAGCAACTGCGCACCGAAGGAATTCCCTTGAATCCGGCGGGACGCGGCACGAGTCCCATCCGTGGGTCTCGAGGAGGGCTCGAGGAGGCAGGGAGTGCGACGCAACTCGCGGGGAGGGCGCATGCTCCGCTTCTGCTTACTGCGTCTATCGTTTCCTCGTCGGTTTTCGACGTGGCGAGTGCGGATGTCCGTCGCGCATTTTCCGTGGCGTACCGGTTTCGGCACGAGCGATCGATCCCGTTGTTTTTCGCGCGTCGGGCGACGGTCGTCGCCGTTGTGCGCGGTTGTGTGTGTTTTGATGTCGTTTCTGGTGTCGATTCGAGGGAAGGTCGTTCGTCCCCCGCCCGAGGCCGGTAATCGTCGCAGATGTTCGGTAGTGCAAAACGGAGCGAGAACAACATCAACTCGTGCGACGAGGGCGTTCAGACGCGACACGAGAGTCTTTTCGTTCGAAAGAATAACGACAGGTTGGAAATTAAAAAGCGGGAGTCGAAAATCCCAGGCATAAAAGAGGGAAGTAAATCGTGTGGAATCGCGCGACCTTGACATTCGCGAATGATTCCGGGCGGAATTGTTTTCCAGCCGGAATAGTAAAACACGAATGGGCCATTTTCTTGGCCTTGCACTTGTTTTTTGAGTCCTGATCTCTTTATCTCATCCCGACTCGTCTCCTCTCTCTTTCTCCCTCCCTCTCACACTCCCTTCACCCTCCCTCTCACACTCCCTTCACCCTCCTTCTCCCATTCCCTTTCTCCCTCGCTCTCACACTCCCTTCCCCTCCCCCCTACTCCTCCCTTCGGTCATGCGACCTTGTCCTTCACATTAATCCTACACTTCATGGTGTGCCAGATAAGGCACGTTCTGCTTTGCATTCAGGGCCGTTTCTAGGCATATTGGCGCCCAGAGCAATGAGTTCCTACGGCCCCCCCCCCCCCCCCCCCGCTACCCCCCTCCAACCAACAACTGCGGCGCGAAGCAAACATCACCGCAACTCTGGCGATAAGGGTCTTATCCCCGGAAGCTGGCAGGGAGCCGGAACTCATGGAAATCATTTTGCTAAATCTGTAAAAAAAAAAAAAAAAAAAAGGCCAAGTCAAGGCTTATACTACCAAGGGTGATAATATCTGTCCGCANGAAAATAAAGAAAAACATTTTAAAAAATAAAAAAAAAAAAAAAAAAAAAAAAGGCCAAGTCAAGGCTTATACTACCATGGGTGATAATATCTGTCCGCACGAATACACCGTAATTAAGTACTCCTATGATGCGAGAGATTAACTCAACAGCTCACTCCAGGTAAACGGATTCCGTTTTTTAATTGTAAGGATGCCAACACTCAGTATATTATATTATGACACTGATAAAAAAAAATCAAATTTAGTAGGACGCAATGAAACTGTAGTCTAGGTGCAATCCAAACTCCTGGACACTGCCGAAGGACTCCATCTTTTAATTCCACCAAAAGCGAAGGTTTGACTCCCGTGGTTGCCACGCGCGTCGTTTTTTCTTTCTTTTTCTTCGTTCTACGCGGTCTTCCTTGGGCATTGGCAGACTGCAAACCTGCCGATGGTGCCATACCGGCGGTTGCCGAAACAGCGGTAAGGCCCTAGATTTAAGCGACGTCGATGTAAACAAAAATTAACTTTGGGTCGAGTAAAGGGGTAAAATTCCCCAGGGCAAGTTGAAAATAAATTTAAAAAACTTAGGCCTGCACACTAAAGAGAAAGACAGGAACATAGAGAGGGGAATGAACTGATGCACGTTTCGAAAGGGAGTAAAAGAACCGTCCACTTTAGCGGCATGCATCGGATGAGGTCAAGCCGGAGGCTGGCTTTTGACGTCCGAGCATTTCCGGAATTTGTTCGGAAGTTGCACGCTCGTGCGGGTCGCGCCGCCTCTGCCTTTCCCGTATCGGATTGTATGGAACTGTGCTCGTCTCGATGAGATGACGTTTGCCTTAGGAAATTTCGCCGATACATTGTGATGGTGGAAAAACTATCGATGTCGATGCGTCGACCTATCGTGATAGTCCAACTCGATACCCACGGCCCAGTCGCAGTGTGGCTTCATGCCGCATGTATGAGAGGAAGGTTGGGGAGGGGAGGGGAAGGTTGGGGAGGGGAGGGGAAGGTTGGGGAGGGGGAGGGGGAGGGGGAGGGGAGGCTTCTGTGAGCTTCTGCCCGATTTTGAAACTGATATCTGGTACGCTGGTAGGAGGTTGCACGGCATAATTAAAATATCATTAATTTAAATTTAAAAGAATTTTCTCTCGTTCCGATTAGCGCTGGTTCGCATAAAGTGGACGCTAAACACCTAAAAAAAAACTTTTATTATTGTGTTTCTTTGCGCGGGCGTCCCCCCCCCCTTTTTTTTTCCCGCTGGCGCCGCGAGCGATTGCCCGCCGCTGGAAACGGCTCTTTTTGCATTGAAATGTATTGTGATACAATGGAAAAAAAAACAACATTAAAGGATAATTATTATTATTATTTTTCTCATCAACCACGTGACGAAATATGATCGTCGAAAATGCTTTTGGTGCGGTTAGAAATATCATGCATTGTAGGGTTAACCCGATCCGCATGCTCTCCAAAATTCAGTCATTTTCAGGATTTTCCAGATCCGGTTAACAACTCTTCGATGATCATGCTACGGAAAATGCATTCACTGAGTTAAAAAAAAAAAATTAGTACAAAAACTCCAAAAATTATTCAAGTTTTGGATTCGGGCCCTGGGTGGCTAAACTATTTCCCCTTGAACAGAGAAAATTTCAAGAGAGACTTGTGGACTCGTCGTTACTAAAGGTGGAATGGATCGGAAGGAAAAGGGCAAACGCGTTTTTTTGTGCGTTTCCATGAACCATTTTCCATTTCTGGAGCCGACCGCTCTCTCAGGGTGCGGACTGCTGAAGCCATCGAACAAAGTATCGAACAGGGAAAAGTTTATCCTTTTCACAGAGTCCCCGAAATTGGACTGAGAAAATTCTGAGAGACAACTTTAACATTTTTTTCTGGTGTTACATTTATGTAATAATAATATGTAATAATGTAATTATGTAATAATAATATGTAATAATGTAATTATGTAATAATAATATGTAATAATGTAATTATGTAATAATAATATGTAATAATGTAATTGTGTAATAATGGATTGGATTGTCTTAATGACAATTGAATTATCGGCTTTCATCTCATGGTTTTTCTTAATGCATTTTATGGTGGTTTATTATTTTTTTTGCAGGATTTTTACCATGAACATCATTCGAAATGTGTCCTCGGTGACGGTTTCAGGTTTCGATGGAAACCGCTTGCTTGATGAAAACATTTGTTATTTGGACCTAAGTAATTTGGACCTAAATTTGGCTTTGGTCAAAATCCTCTGAGTCTTCCCGAAATGCAATTGAGTCTTCTTTCCTCTTTCTTCAAAGCGCAGCAAAAAAACCACAACTCGACAATTTGTGCCTGCATTGCTCTCCAGATATTCGCTTTATCTGGGATTGAGATTAATAGAGAATACCTCAGTGCCAGCTGATTTTTCAGTCTTGAATTTAAGTGCCGCGAAGGGTGTGCGTCGTGGAGTGTGGTGACCCCAGGTGCATAGAATTTCAACGTTCAGAGCGAAACAGGAATAAACGCAGGCTCAACGGTGATATTTGTTACTGCGACAATTATCGACGAAATCGTTCCACGTGGGGGAAGGGGATGGAGAAAGCAATGGAATTTCAAGACTCACCGATATATCGACCGAGCGAAGAAATGAAGCTTCGGCCTCTGCCTTTAATGACGGGTATGGCTTTGGTGGTTGCTTTAAAGTGGAGTCTTTTTTTTTTGCATAGGTCCAGATCCAAGTCTCGTTTTGGTGTTCCCAACCAGGCTGCGACGGGTCGAGCACAACTGTTTTTGTCGTTCGTATTTGCGGTTTCATGTCGCTCTCGGTAGGTGGAAGAAGACTTCCGGAATGGGGGAGGGCTTCAGCCCCCCCTCCCCTATATCCGTCGCTCTGGACGAGATGGTGGAGCGGGCTCGGATTTCTTGCTGGCGAGATGGCGTGCTCTTCGCTTCGTTCCAGGGGTCGATGGCGATAATGTCACGATGGGGCCCTGGATGCGCGTCATTGCCACAAATATACCGGAATTGTTTTCGTGCGTTCCGCAATCGAAACCTGTAAGCGATCGAAGCCGGGATTGTCGAAAGGCATCTTCAGCCTATCCTTTCGTTTAGATAGCTTCTGTCGCTTTTCTTTCGAGCCTTTCACGCTAGATCGATGCGAATATTAGCGGTTTTGGCGGTCATTCCTCAAAACTGCACCTTCTTCCATTATTCCCTTCCCTTCGTAGACTGTGTCCCGAATGCCCCGATGGTTTTTTGCCTTCGCCATTGGCAGGGTACTGATTCCCCAAAACAATACCCCATTCTCTGTAGACGTTCTTGCAACAGAACATGAAGGTCTCTTGATCCTCAAGCTCCGTCAGTGTTCCGTCGTCTTCGACATCGCGGATATCGCGGCTCACGCGAAGGGCGAGGAGGCGAAAGGAGCCACCCTCTTCGAGCTCGTGCGATACATGGCGAAAGGGGGGGAGATCGCGGAGTCAGCGTATCCCGAAATCGCCAAGATGGTAGGTACCCTATTAAAATCCTATAAGATCCTGACGGATTTTTGAAACTTAAAAATCGTATGGATTCCTGTATGATTTTTTTCGTACGGTCAAGTCTACTTTGTAAAGAAAATACGGCCTGAAATATATTATGTTTACTCAGGAAACCTTGATTCTGTGGCTTGCCTCGAAATGGTTGGTTGCTTCTATAATAATTGTTGGTACATTATTACTAACTTAGGTGTAATTAATCATGCCGCCAAAGAAACTTTCTCTTGCTCTATCCAACCACGAGTGGATTTAAGGGGCTTCTTCATCACACGCATTAATCACTCCTGCTGCAACCGGAGGATCTGGAATTTTTAAGGTTCTTAAACTTGTAACATACTCATATATATGAATAAGCTAATTTTGAAGATGGGACCAAACCCCTCTGCACATCGACAATGGGTCCACATCCTTTCTATTTTACTATTGTAATTTACCTTTTCAAAAAATTAAACCTGAGCGGTGGAGACAAGGAAAGAAGGTGCTCGCCCTCACAAATCTCCAGTTTGGCCGTAATTCGCTCCCGTCCACACATTTCCTGTGGCCGTATCCCATTCCTCTTCTCGCTAGGACAAAAATTCCATCGGAAAAGGAAGGCAATGTGCAGCCCGGCCTCGAATGGGGCTCATGATTCCGGGCCATTTTTTCTCTCCCTGCCGCGGATGGCGTATCCCACCGTTCTGGATTTCATTGGAATGACATATAACATACAAAAGGATTGGTACCCCGCATCCTTGAATATGAGAAACGTTCTTTTCGTCCGAATTCTTAAGAGTGAAAAGAATGAAGTTGGAGAGGAAGCCACGGAACTAAGCTTACTAAGCACGGCTGATAAGTTTCAGGCCGTATTTTTTTTTTTTGGTATTGCAATTATGTTGATGTGTTCTTCAGTCGTGAATGCAATGCCCCCTTCTCAGATATCGTGCAACCTCCTCAGGAGCCTTCCACCTCCAGAGAACCCCATCTTCGATCCAGAAGAGGATGAACCTGTTCTGGAAGCGTCGTGGCCTCATCTGCAGGTACTGGAGACTTTCCCGAGAAGTTCCCCCTTGTTTTCACTGGCCTGTAAAGCCCATGATCGGCTGCTAGGCTCCTGAGAGCATTTCAGGCTGATCATGATGATCTGTGTCCTCTTCTTTCCTCGTAGGCCGTGTACATATTCTTCCTGAGCTTCTTGGATTCCCCTAACTTTCAAGTAAATGTTGCCAAAAGGGACATTAATCAGAAGTTCGTTCTGGAGGCAAGACACTGTCGACCACGACTTTTTCCGTTCGCATCAATAAGTCATTTCTGCTGCTTGAAAATAAAATCGGATTTCCTTGCAGCTTCTGGAGATGTTCGACAGCGAAGACCCAAGAGAACGCTTTTATCTGAAGACTGTTCTCTACAACGTCTATAGGAAGTTTGTGGGCCTCAGATCCTTCATTCGGAAGCACATCACTCACATCATTCTCAGGTGGTGCCACGTGACATTGGACGCAACCATAGGTTTAAATATACCCTTACGAAAAAGTCCCATAGGAACCCCAAAATATTTCCAAACATGAAATACCTAAGTGATTCCGATAGGAAACCTATTAGTTTCCCATATAATGTTCATATTGGATCTTACATGCGTCCTATAGGATCCTATATTATAGGATCTTAACGTTATCCTATAGGAGAAATATTGAATACTATTTGATCCCATAGGAAACGTATAGGATCCCAAATGTTTCCTGTTGGTTCCCTACAGGATTCCTAAAGGAACTTTATAGGTTTATCACGTTTTAAAACCTATAGGATTACTAAAGTGTTCTTGTACATTCCTGAACACTCCTACTGGAAACATATAGGATTGTTTCGTAAGGGTCTCTTCGCTCTACAATATATTTGCATACGTCTGGTTATATTTCAGTTATATCTACGAAACTGAGAGGTTCAACGGTATAGGCGAACTGCTAGAGATTCTCACATGGTGAGTGAAATAATATCGAACATAATTTCCCTAAAGTTGTCAGGAAAATGCTTATTTTCTCGGTTTTCCTCCGTCCGCATAGCGTCATCAATGGCTTCGCCTTACCATTGAAAGCAGACCAGAAGCAATTGCTATTAAAGGTGCTGATTCCTCTCCACAAAGTGAGGTACTTATCCACGTGCCATCCCCAGTTGCAACATTGCATATTTCAGTTCCTGGAGAAAGACGACTCACTCACCGAAATGGTTCTCAATCCTCATTTTCGTATGATTTCGAAAGTGCCGATGTTATGTGGGGGACAAGCTTTCCATTGAATTCTCTCAGGTGATCGTCGGCCTGCTGCGGTATTGGCCCAAGACGTCTTCCCAGAAGGAAATCCTGTTCCTGAATGAAGTACAAGAGATCTTGGTCGGGATAAGTCCATACGAGTTCCAGAAGATCCAGAATCCACTCTTTCGGCAGATTGCGAGATGCGTGTCCAGTCCACACTACCAGGTCCGCACATTTTCCCAGTGTCCAAATGCAACGCAATGCGATGCATATCTAACGTCTCCATTCTATCCCTCTCGCTGCGCAGGTCGCCGAATGCGCCATCTGCTTGTGGCACCGAGATCGCATCATGGCCCTGATCAAAGGCAATTACCTCGTGATCATGCCCATCGTGTTCCCCGCTCTCTACGGGATCTCGAAGGAGCACCTGAGCCCACCGGTAGTGGATCTGGTGAAGGACGTGCTCCAGACCTTCATGGAAAGGCAGCCTCTCCTCTGCGACGAACTCGCGACGTCTTTCAGAGCAGAAAGGCAATAGCGGGTGCCCATTTTTTTTTACGAAGCTATTATTACGTCACTTGAATTTGTGAGAGAACCCATTACAAAAATAACTCAATATGTTCACACCCAGCAGCTGAAAAAATATGGGAAACGGATTCCCAATCAGCAATGCTCATGGTGCTTTGAAACACCCCGTCTCAATGGAATAAATGTGCCTCCTTTTTAGTGCTATGCATTCCTCTCTTCTTCTCCCTCTTCTTGCCATCCGAAAAAAAGGAATCCAAAACCTTTCATCAGCCTCCCGGCGGCAGGAGTCTGCATCCCGTCAGACGCGAAGGGACGTGGAGAGGCACTCGCAAAGCAGGCGAGCATCAACCAGCCACTTATGCTTTTCGAGCTGAATGGGCGATCTTTTTCCTCACTGACATTTGCCGAGATATTTTGGGAAACTCTGGCACTAAGCACCCGTGGTGTTTATTGAGGCCGTTTCTACCAGTATCAAGCGAATGTATTTTGGAGCGCATGATATCCCGAGTTAAATTCTTTTTCCGGGAATCAGTTGCAGCAGCAGTGATTGAATTGAGTTGCTTCAAGGGTGACGCGTGGGAAACAGATGTGCAACACCGTGCATTTTCTGATGACAACGTTTTAAATTTCGTCCTTACACAGGTTAAATTATTGTCACTGAAGCTTTGAAATTTAGTAGTAAACAAGCACTAATTTCACATGCGCGTCAATGAATTTATTTAAGATTGATGGCTGCGTATCAAATTTAACAGGGAGCAGCGCTTAGGAAGCGATAGTCCAGAACTTCTATAATTTAAAAGATCCACACTTTAGTTACGGAAGGTCCCACGAGAAGGAGCGGAGCTACGTCTCTCAATGATCATTAGCCAAATTGGTTTTGCTCAAAGGCTCCAAAATGGCCAGGTCAGGAGGTCCCAGGTCTTAAGACCGGGTCAGAAGGCAATGGTCCAAAGAGTGGCAGTTCAACGTTGTCAGTTGAAGCCATTGAGAAAGTATATACAAGAGGACGCATTCAATTCCCAAATTACATTAATTTGTGTCCCCTCGAGACCGAAAATTCCATCAATGATTGAATGTCACCACCAAATTAAAAATGGGCAGAATAGACGAATATCGCAGCCTCTCAGGCCAGATCCACGCATCACGCCCTGAGTCTTCGGTCTCGCGAAATCTAAGTCAGGGACTTGGAGAAAACAAGGCGATGGCAGGCATTTCTCTTGCGTGAATCGGGGACAATACGGAGCTGGAAAAGAGGCAGAAGCGAACTACACGGTTTCCTTTGAAGTGACGGTTGGATTAGCGATTCTGATTTACTTGTGAAAAAAGATTTGACACTGAGAATGATGTGGCGGAGGTTCCTAGAATTGAATTTCAAAGAATAGCTCTTGATCGTGAATCTATTTCTGAAAGCAAATTTTGATCCAATATCGGGTCCGCCTTATTGCCCATTTTTCTTTTAGGACAGCGCATGTTAGTAATCCTATTTATTCCGCCCCTGTCCTGGGGAACAGTAACGGAAAAAGGAAAAAGTTCAGGGAGCTTTCTTATGATTCACCATTCCAACAGAAAGAGCTCACTGGAAGCGAAGGAGGGTCCCAGTCTGCATAGTTGAGTAAACGTCGATATTTGGTGGATACATCGACTCATCGGGTTCGCTCGTAATTCGACGTAGAGTTGATGTTGAGGAGAGGGGGATATTCCAACTCATGACATCTTCGCTTTCTAAGAGTCATTTGTCAAAATTATAATAATTTTGCGTCATTGGATATCAATCACAGGGCCTATTGGAAAAGTAGAATGAACAAGTAAAGAACGTGAAACATCCATGACTGGTTCATCAAGTGGAAACCCATTTCTGGCATTTGTTCCAGAGGTGAAGTTGCTCGCATTTTCACTTGTGATGACAATGGATAACTTGGAAGTGGGGGAGGCCTCCGCCCCCTGTGAAATCTTACGCGCCCTTTCTAATGTGTATATGCCCTGGGAACTTTCGTGCATAAGAAGTCAGCAGCGTGCGCATGCGCAAGGAGACCGGAAACTGAAGCCTAGTTTGTGAGGTCGCTGTGGGTCCGCTCGTCTCAAGGTTGATGCGCAGTATGAAGTGAAATCCGGGAACGGATTATAGGTTGTGACTTGTGACCATGGTCTATCTGTAGGCAAAGGCAACGGCTGTAGGCTTAGTCAAAGAATTTTTGGACGTCGGTTGGCTTTACCATGATTCTGTCCAGTGGCGTAGCCAGGATTTCGCCAATGAGGAGCTAAGCGGAATGGTGGGGGAGCTAGAATTTCCCTTACTTCTCCTCGCCGGGGTGGTGGCGGATGCATTAAGGCCAGAGTTGGGGGGAGGGCTCCCCCTCTTTACGCCACTGATTCTGCCCGTCACGAAATTTGACTTCGATATGTCTTGGCCAGATGAATTAGGGACTGTGTACGGCCCTTTGAGCAACAGATTACCTTGAAGGCCTTGGCTTAGCCATTCTTTTTAAAGGTTGTACTTATTGTATCCTTAAGTTCATCATCGCTTCGGCTATTTGGTTCGATTTCCGAGGTTCTTATAAAATTCTCGAATTTTATAAGACCTATCAGGTCAAAGATCCCTTGGGGGTAGACCTATATTAATGCCGTAGGTACACAATTTCAACTTCATCGTTCGACTCTGACACTAATTGGTGGCCCATGCATGGGAGCCTACTGAAAAGTTATCGAACTCCCCAGAAAAATGTCTTCCTCTGTCTATGCTTTGCCTAAGAATATATGTTCTGTTTTAAACTTGGAAAAGGCTAGTTTTAACTTTACTTGCATGTTTATGAAAGTCAACCAGACCAGGCCGACAGTTCTATTTCAGCTCAGTTCAACATTCAGATAACATAAAAGTACTTGAATCAGTAACATACACTTCTCTTGTTTATTATGGATAGCAGAGGTACCCGGCGTTGCCCGGGTGAATAATGATGTTCCTATATTATTTTAAATTTTTTTTTGTGCTGAAATAGCCTCTTAGAGGGCAAATTAATACGTTTTGTTGAAGAAAATTATGTTTTAAGTTCATAGAGACTACTTCCAAAGCCTTCACAGGCGGTTTTACACTGTTCTATAATGCAGATATGCTTTCTGTGACCCTCAAAGTATATTTATGCCTCCCAAAATAAGGGAACTTTTACTTCTTCCAGGAACTTCATAAGTGCCCTGTTAGGTGCAGATTGAGTGCCACTTACTGATTGATTGAATTTCATAGGCACTCACCCCAGATCATGTTCATCCCAATGAGATGCTTTTCCCTTCCCCTACCATTCACCTTTCTTTTCCAATGATACTTTCAAATCTACATACTCCCATTCATGTATGTACTTGCATAGGCTGTCTGAAATTTACAGCCCTGTCTGCATCAGAGCTTACATGGTTTACACAATCTTCTTAAATACTTGGTCTAGTCTGTCTGATGGTCAAAATGGGGACTTAAACAATTTTTTTATTGCATTACTAGATGGCATCAAAGTCAAAGAAATACTGAGCAATTAAAAAGGAGATCAGAGATGTACTATCAACTCTAAGTGGAAGTGGTGAACCACCTGCAAAAGTGTGCTTATTGGCTAATGAATCAGTTCATGAATCTTGATCATTTGCAAAACCAACAACATACTCATATCAAAGTTGGAGATGAAGAGAAGGGGATTGGGAATATCACCTTTCTTTTCCAATGATACCTTCAAATCTACATACTCCCATTCATGTATGTACTTGCATAGGCTGTCTGAAATTTACAGCCCTGTCTGGTTTACATGGTTTACACAATCTTCTTTAATACTTGGTCTGGTCTGTCTGATGGTCAAAATGGGACTTAAACAATTTTTTTATTGCATTGCTAGATGGCATCAAAGTAAAAAAAATACCAAGCAATTAAAAATGAGATCAGAGATGTACTATCAACTCTAAGTGGAAATGGTGAACCACCTGCAAAAGTGTGCTTATTGGCTAATGAATCAGTTCATGAAGATAATCTTGATCATTTGCAAAACCAACAACATACCCATATCAAAGTTGGAGATGAAGGGAAGGGGATTGTGAATATCCTTGAAGAGGCAGCTGAAGGAAAGAGTTGGTCTTTAAATCTGGAAAATATGTCATTAGCATCAAACCTGTCTGGACTCTCTTCAGTGTGTTTAAGCCTAATTTCTTCAGATGTGAAGTCCCTACCTGCTAGAACTGAGGATGAAAAAGAGACCTCAATGGACAAGTCCAAACCATCTCATAACAGTCAAAGTACTTTGACCAGCTCACTCCGCCAGTGGGCCGTGAAAAGTCGGGTGCCACATACCTCACTCACTTCTTTGCTGTCAATCCTGCGGTGTCATG